TACAAAAAATATGTGTAATTAATGTGAGAATGTACTATTTATATATTCCAAAACCCGTAAATATATCACCATAGGAAGAATTATGAATTTATCAAGCAGGGTAGGAACATAACATTTTTTATGTCATAAAGGCAGTGCAGCCCCAGTTTTACAATGTTTATATGTGTTCCCTTTTCTTATGAACTAGATAAAGACCATTACTTGTCAGTGTTTGAAAGACAGAGTAAAACCTGCTCTATAATCTTGGCATTTCAGTTTGTATTTGCTTTCTGTTCTAAACTGATGCTATAATAATGTAATGGAAAGATTATCAATATTATTTCTTGTGTTCCAGACTTAATGATGTGTTTAGAAATTTGGCTATATGATTCTCAACATGCAATATTTTTTTCTTGTTTCCTTTTTCTTGATTGCTTTTCCTCTTCCTGCCCCTGTTTTCTATATTAGATCAGTAAATGAACATTAAAATGCATTTCACTTATGCAGATATTTTAGAAGATGACAACTTAGATAATCAGATTGATTACTTAGATTAGGGGTCCCCAACCCCCGGGCTGTGGCCCACTAGCAGGCCCCAGCCAGTTCAGAACCAGGCTGTTCAAGCAGCAGGTGAGCTCATGTGTGCGCGCAGCTCCACGTGTGTGAGTGGTGGGCTCTCACACACGCAGCTCCATTTGTGCTCACACACAGCACATGAGCCTGCGCAAGTGTATGAGCCTGCACAAGTGTAGCTACGCCCATAAGCACACACACCTGCCACTCACATAGAACCTTCCCCTCTCCCCCTCCCCCGGGCCACCAAGCCAGAAAGGTTAGGGACTGCTAACCTAGATGATAATATATTATTATTATTATTATTATTTATTGAATTTATATCCCGCCCTTCTCCTTGCGGACTCAGGGCGGCTGACAATCAATTAAAAATACACCAATAACAATTACAAAATTAAAATTAGTTAAAAAGAAATATTTAAATGTTGTCTAATTAAAATATGATTAAAACCCCTCTAAAAATTGCCCTAGGCCAGTCCCGCTTGT